TGGAGAACTATGACTTCACTGGAGAAGATGGGCCTGTCTTTGTGTGAGGGCATGGCAAGAGCCAGCCCCATTGTAGTCAGCAGCATGAGCGCTCTGGCGTCTATTCAGCAGTGCCTCTGCCTTGTTTGTGGCAGGCAGCCCTTTGGGAGGCGATCGGAGGTATGGCCCTCTCTCTGTTTGAGGCCTCTTCTCCTGCCTCCCGGAGAACTATGACTTCACTGGAGAAGATGGGCCTGTCTTTGTGTGAGGGCATGGCAAGAGCCAGCCCCATTGTAGTCAGCAGCATGAGCGCTCTGGCGTCTATTCAGCAGTGCCTCTGCCTTGTTTGTGGCAGGCAGCCCTTTGGGAGGCGATCGGAGGTATGGCCCTCTCTCTGTTTGAGGCCTCTTCTCCTGCCTCCCCAGTCAGAGACTGAGGGGCTGTCAATATTGTGCTTCCGACCAAGGAGGCGTTACTAGGTAACCTGCAGTGCATCGGCCTGTCTCTGAAGTGTGTGTGTGTGCATGGTGGGTAGGAGCATGTGTGAGCTGCAGCTCGTTTTTGTTTAACTGTTACAGCTTCCTCCACCGCAGCTGTTGGACTTGCCCCGGCCCTGGCAGGGAGAGCTTTGGAAAGATGGAGAGCCAGAGGAGAGAGCTCCTGGATGCCCTCTGGGAGAAAGATGAAGAGGAAGAAGATGGGATGGCTGCCAGTGCCACCTCCACCTTCCGCCTCAGCGAAGCAGAGGAGGTGCAGGTAGAGATGCTGGAAAAGGCCAGGGAGCTCTTTCAGTTGTGTGACAAGGAGAAGAAGGGCTTCATCACCAAGCTGGACATGCAGGTAAGGGGAGGAATCTGTCCTGCTCTGCTTCCGGGTAGGAAGCTCTGGAGTCCCATGAGACAGAAGGCTGCACTTGGGGACTGATTTGCCTCACACTGCTGGCTGCTCAAGGTCAGGCTACATATAGCCCATGTTGTCTCATGGCTCCACTCAGGTAGACTGTGCCAGTCGCCCGCTGGAAAACAGAGAGAACTGAAGCAGATTGACATTTTGTAATACCCTTTTGATGGAAAATTTTCATTTTGGAGATGGAGAAGGGGGCGAGTTGTCCTCACCACCACTGCTACCCTGGCCTATTTGAGAGCTGGGGGGAGATTTCAGAAATCTGACACTTGTTTTAGTAAAATTTTGTATCCCATCTCCTCACCATGTCCCCTATAAGAGGACACATCACTTGGCTTTTGTCACCTTGGTCTGAGCTATCTTTTCTGGGAATAGTCTCTCTCCTTTTAAAAACTTGTTCAAAGACTTGATTATGATCCTGATGTAGAGAGACACATCTCTCTGCTGGCTATTTTGAGTTAAAATCTTGGAGGTTTCCAGGTGTTCCACAAGCAGAATAATTTTCTTTAGTGTACGTATCAGTACGGTCACACTGGGATTCTGTTCTGCCCCAGCTCTTTCTGAACAATTAACATTACCCACATATACAGTGTTTAATCAACAGGAGCTGTTGAGTCATTTTATGTCGGGCTGTGCAATGCCTCATTCCATGTGCTTTTGATAAGAGGCTCTGTTAAACTTTAGCCAGAGCTGTATGTTTAACAAACATGGTTCTTGTTGTGTGTATTATGGTGCATCAGCTGAGATAATGTCCTGTTGTGCTGGGTCTCTCTCTCTCTCTCCCTCCCTCTCCCCTCCTTCCCCCCCCCCCCTTTCTTGGTCTATTTAGATTTGTATCCTTATTCTCATGGGGAGCTGAGGCAGAGAGAGATTAAATGACTTGCCCAAGGTCACACAGGAAGTTTGCGGCAGAGCTGGGAGTTGAACCAGATCATCTTCTGAATCGTAGTCCCCAAGATCATTTTTATAGGAGTAGTATGGGTGAAGGAGCTGCTATCACATTATGCAGTACTGCTAACTGGCCACATAGACATGATGATGGTCTGAGAGCCACAGCCAGCCCTCCTCAGTCTGAATGACAGGAAAAGTCCAGCAGATGATAGAGGACAACTAAAAATATAATAGTTGGTACTGGTGGCAGGTGGATTTAAGGCATGAATGCTCCTCAGAACCAAATAATCTGGAGAAAGCAAATTCCCCTCTGCACTGTTGTGCCCATTAATCCTGTTTTTGGGGCTGATGGGCATTCCGAACGACTTCATACAGGCAGTGCCCAAACTAGGCTTTTCTGTCATGACTCAGCTGCATTGCCTTGGTAACTGTAGCATCTCCCTCCTACTAGAATGGGGAGGCAGGCTCTGATTCCGGTCCCCTGGAAGTCATTGCAAAGACTTGAGTTGGGCTGTAGGGTGGGTCCAAAGTTTGGTATTTATTGTGTCCCTCCTCCTGTCTTTCCAGAGGCTGCAGAGTGAACTTCCCCTCACCCCAGAACAGCTGGAGGCTGTCTTTGACAGCCTGGAGCAGGACAATAATGGGTACCTGACGCCTGTGGAGTTCAGCATGGGACTAGGTAAGAGCAGCAGGTAGACAGGGGTAATGCTGTGTGTGTGTCGAGATGGTACAGAGCCCGTGGGCTCTAAACACTCAATAGTTGGCCCCAGTCCTTCTTGTTTCTCCTCTATCATATGTTAATATTAACCTAGGTCATGTGCATGTATCATAACCCTGAAATGTCTCCCATGCCTTCTAAGCATTCCTGTCATTCCAGTCCCATAGAACTTTTCTTTGATCAGATTCTTCTGTACTTGCACATAGCTGCCAGCCGTATCTCTGAATCTCTCTGATTGGAGACAGATGGCACATATAACTGGCCATGTGCCAGATCTGGTCTTCCCTCCAGGTGTTCCCAGCAGGCAGGAAACACCAGGTCAGTCAGCTGCATAAGGAACCTGGTTTTATGAGGGGACAAAATCCACACCTTGGAGATCGGCGCCATCCGTTGATTCCAAGGCCAGAAGGGACCATTGTGATCATGATCTGACCTCCTGTAAAACACAGGTCATAACCCTTCCCCAAAATAATTCCTAGAAAGTATCTTTTAGTCAAACAGCCAATCGTGGTTTAAAAATTGCCTGTGTAGGGCTTTTGGTAAGTTGTTCCCAGGATTAATTACCCTCACTAGTAGAGATTTATGCCTTTATGGATATCTGAGGCAGCACTTCAGCTGTCCTCTGTGCTGATGGAAGTGCTTTTAGTTTGATAATACAGTGAGGAGCCACTAGAAAATGTTGGTACTGTAAACAGTAGCTGCCGGATGCTGCTCGAGACACAGCTGATGAGAGAGAGAAGAATGTTTATAACCATAATGTCCTCCAGTTTGTGCACTCCGTTCCTCCAGCTGGTGATGAACTCTTAGGAAAGGCAGTCCCTGCTGGCTTTGATTATTTAAATAACAGGCATCTTGCTGTGTTGGCTTGCTAGGCTAGGCTATGCAGACATTCTAATGGCTAGTTGGTTTAGCACAGAGGGGTAAGATAGGAATCAGGGCCAAGACTTCCCAAAAGTGACTTGGAATTTGGGATGCTTCGATTTGAGAGAGAATAATAATAAATAAATAAAACAGTAAGAGCAGGGGTGGGCAATAATTTTTGCTGGGAGGCCACTCCAAGAATTTGGAAAATGGTCAAGGGCTGCACCCTTCCATGATATTAATGGAGGGCGTGGAGACTAAGATGGCGGTTGGGTGCAGAAGGGAGCTTGGGGTAAGGGATTGGGATGTAGGAGGGAGTGTGGGGTCTGGGAGGGGGTTTGTGTGAAGAAGGTGGTTGTGACCTAGGGCAGATGACTGGACTGCAGGGCTTTGGGCTGTGACCTGTGGCAGGGTTTTGGGGGGCAGGGTTTGGGAGGAAGTGTGAGTGCAGGAGGTGGGTGGAGGGTTGGGGAGAGAGGAATGGTTTGGTGGTCAGTCAGGCTCTGTGTGTTTAAGAGGAATTCTGAATTCTCATTGAGGCTTTTAAGAGAGACTTCAAGGAATAGGCCTGGACATTATAAAGAGCCTCTGGCATGGAGTATTGGCACTAACAGAGCTGAGCTTTAGTTTATAGAAAACTGCAGAAACGCATGTGTTTAGGAATGTCTAACCTAACCCAGCTTCTGTGTGTGTCTTAGTGCTCCCTATGTTCTACCCCTCTTGATTTTAAGCTCTCTGGACCAGGGATTCTATGGGTATCCAACAGAGGCATGTAAATAAGACATACCGACATAGTCAGTGAAGCAGGGATTTAAATATCCCCTGCTTCATTAGAATAAAAATGGCTGCTGCGCTGTGCCGGCTCAGGTGTTTGTCGGCACGAACTGGCAGTCAAGATGGGGATCGGTCGACAAGGAAAGCCTTTGCCGACCGATCCTGTAAACCTCGTTTCATGAGGCATAAGGGATCGGTCAGCAAAGGCTTTCCTTGCCGACCGATCTCCGTCTTGACTGCCAGTTCGTGCCAACAAACAGCTGAGCCGGCATAATATGGTGGCCATTTTTATTCTAATGAAGCGGGGGATATTTAAATCCCCGCTTCATTGACTGTGTCGGTATGTCTAATTTACATGCATCCTGTAAACCTCGTTTCATGAGGCATAAGGGATCGGTCAGCAAAGGCTTTCCTTGCCGACCGATCTCCGTCTTGACTGCCAGTTCGTGCCAACAAACAGCTGAGCCGGCATAATATGGTGGCCATTTTTATTCTAATGAAGCGGGGGATATTTAAATCCCCGCTTCATTGACTGTGTCGGTATGTCTAATTTACATGCCTCTGTTGGCCGAGGCATGTAGTCTAGGCATACCCTAAATGAGTAACTGGCATTTGGCTAGGACACAATAATGGGGGATAAGCAGTGCTAGGTACCTTGCTCTCCGACATTGCACCTAGATTTCTGAGTTAATCTGATCAGGCAGGAATCCCAGCATGCCTGCCTTCTGTATTGGACTTGGCACTGTATGCTGGCATCAAGCCTGTAGGGTTACCACAGTCATTTCAAGCACAGAAAGTGAAACTGGTACAGCTACTACAGAAGGATATACTTTTATTACAGGGCAACCCCCTATTTCCTGAGCATGTTCCGCATGTCAGAGAACGGCAACTGCTTAGACGCATCAATGGCCTTCTGCTAATAAGAGAATTGAGACGGAAGTTCTCATAGTCTATGAACTGGCACAGAGATCTTTTGACCAAGGCTACTAGGGGCAGGCTGAAAAGAATGAGGGGATCTCATTCAAAATGGAATACTGTGCTTTATTGTAGTGTGTTTCTCACAAATGACATACCAAAACCCTGCCTGTAGTTAATGGAAAGGATGCGGTAGACATGTGGCCTGAGCGTGCTGCTGAGAGCCAGGTAGGATGGAGTTAAGATTCTAACTCTGCTACTGATGTGAGGCACAGTGGGGTAGGTGGTTTTCCCAGGCTCATAAATAAATTTCAGGGCAGGGATTAGGGCTCAGAAGTTCCTGGCTCAGGAAACTAGGTATGGCCTCCCTGTGCCTTTGCTTGCTTATCTTTAAGACCAGGCTGTTTTTTTGTTGTTGTTTTTTTTAAGATAGAATCATGGAAATGCAAGGACCTAGAGAAGTCATCAAATCCAGTTGCCAGTGCTGAGGGAGGACCAAGTAAACCTAGACCATCCCTGACAGGGGTTTGTCCAACTTGTTTTAAAAACTCCCAATGATGGAGACTCTACAACCTCCTTGGAAGCCTGTTCCCTGAGTTTAACTACCCTTATATTAGAGACCGCTAAACCTAACTAAGTCCATTGCTTCTTGTCCTACCATGAGTGACATGGAAGAAAAACTGATCATCAACCTCTTTTTATAACAGCACTTAACATATTGGAAGAGTGTTGTCAGGGTCCTCCTCAGTCATCTTTTCTCAGGACTAGACACACCCCAGTTTTTTAACCTGTTTCCACAAGTCAAGTTTTCTAAATTTTTATCAATTTTGTGCTCTCTTCTGGATTTTCTCCAGTTTGTCCGCATCTTTCCAGAAGCATGGTGCCCAAAACAGGACACAATATTCCAGCTGAGGTTTTATCAGGTGCTTCCATGTGCTACATTCCACACTCCCATTCATACACCCCAGAATGATATTAGCCAATTGCATTGCATTGTTGACCTATAATTAATCTTGATCCAATACAACCCCAAGATCCTTCTCAGCAGTAGCACCACCTGGCCAATTATTCCCCATTTTGTAGTTGTGCATTTGATTTTATCCTTCCTAAGTGAAGTACTTTGAACTTGTCTTTTATTGAATTTTATCTTCGTGAATTCTGACCAATTCTCCGATTTGTCAAGCTTGTTTTGAATTCTAATCTTGTCCTCCAAAATGCTTGCAATCCCTGCCAGCTTGGTGTAAACTAAATATTTTGGGTATCCAAACTCTGATATCCAAGTCATTAGGGAAAATATTGAATAGTACTGGACCCAGGATGGACTCCAGTAGGACTCCTCTATATAAACCATCCCCATTCGACAAGGATCTATTGGTGGTTAGTCTCTGAGTGTGGCTTTTCTACCACTTGTGCATTTGATTTATATTAATTTAATCTAGACCACATTTGCCTAGTTTTCTTATTAGAATGTGATGTGGGACCGAGTCAAAAGGCTGACAAAAATCAAGATCTATCATGTCCTCTGGCTCTCCCCCCAACCATCAGGTCAGTAGCTCCATTAAAAAAGGAAATCAAGGTTGGCTTAGCATGGTTTGTTCTTCAGAAATCTATGCTGACTATTACTTACAACTTTATTATCATCTAGGTATGTTAAAAAATTAGTTTTTAATCGTTCGTTGTAGAATCTTTCCAGGTATCAAAGTTGCACTCTAACTCCAACAGAAGTGATGGGTTTGATTCAGGAATTACTGGGTACGGTCTTTTGGCTTGTGCTATACAAGAGGGAAGAGTAAAGGATCATAATGGTCCCTTTTGTCATTAAAATCTTTTTTTATTTCAGAGACTATTGCTTGATGTATTCGTTTAGGAAGAATTTCCTCCCTTCTCTTTTCTATCTCCATTCCCAATATGCCACCACCTTAATGTAGCACTCTGAATACTCTGGGACCTGAGGAGAGGGAGCCATCTCTGCATGGAGGAGGCCTTGTTTAGAGACCTGTACCTATTTTGTTCAGCACAATACTTGGGGAGACAAGCTGGATGAGACAAGAATTATTAATATTATTAGAGGTCCCAACTGACACTGGAGAGACTCTGTGCTAGGCACTTTCTAAACATGTAGTGAGAGACAGGCCCTGCCCCCAAAGCGTTTATGATTTAAACAGGCAAGGTAAACACAAGGCAGGAGAGAAAAAGGATTTTTATCTCCATTTTACAGACTAGGAAACCGAGGCACAGAATGATTTTGGTGACTTGCCTGAGATCACATAAAGAGCTTGTGGTGGAGCTGGGACTTGAAACCCCTCAGTGCCAGAGCACTGCCTGAACTGCAGGCCCAACATTCCATTCTTATCATGCCTGACCTACAGTGTAACGAACTCCACTCTAAATGCAGCCCAGCTGAAAGTCCTGAGTACCTAGCTGTCAGTAAGGGTGCTTCAGATCTTACTGAATACTGAGCAATTGCCTCCCATCCATAATGCTACAAAAACAGGCTCTCGGTTTGCTATCTGGGGGTATGTCTACACTACCCCGCTAGTTCGAACTAGCGGGGTAGTGTAGACATACCCCACTTGCAAATGAAGCCCGGGATTTGAATTTCCCGGGCTTCATTTGCATAAGCGGGGAGCCGCCATTTTTAAAACCCCGCTGGTTCGAACCCCGTGCAGCGCGGCTACACGGGGCTCGAACTAGGTAGTTCGGACTAGGCTTCCTATTCCATGAGGTGTACCGGTAGTTCAGAATAGGAAGCCTAGTCCGAACTACCTAGTTCGAGCCCCGTGTAGCCGCGCTGCACGGGGTTCGAACCAGCGGGGTTTTAAAAATGGCAGCTCCCCGCTTATGGAAATGAAGCCTGGGAAATTCAAATCCCGGGCTTCATTTGCAAGTGCGGTATGCCTACATTACCCCGCTAGTTCGAACTAGGAGGGTAGTGTAGACATACCCTGAGTGTTTAATAGGCACCATTGGATTTGGCTATCTCTAATAGAGCTGGTGCAAGTTGCCCCTCAAAGAGCTTTCCTAGTGCTAAATATGGTGTGACCTTCGGCTCCTTCTTGCCTCTTTCCCCCCTTCCTGCAGGGAAGTTCATAGGGATTGAGCTGTACCAAGGCTCTGGGAGCACACATCACTTCAGACATGAGGAGACCTTTGAGTCGGGCTGGTCCGATGACTTGGACCACACAGACGATGAAGAGGAGAAGCGATTTTGTTCAATAATGGAGCAGCTTGGAGCAGCCCAAGTCTTTGAAGAGTAAGTCTCAAATCCTGTCCTGGTCTGATCTTACAGTCGCCAAACCTCAGTGCTTCAGCACAGACTGAGACGTTGACCTGGCACCGCTGGTTATTTTCAAGAACACGCTTTGAGAAGTGTTGGCTTGCCACTTTGTATCCCAACCTCGGGCCAAGTTATTGTGGCACATTAGAAACACGAGGGAGTCTGGCATAGCTAGCCTGAATAGTCATCAGTGGCCTTTAATGCAGCACTTCCCAAAGAACTTTACAGGCTATAGACTCGCATTTCAGCTTTGAAATATCGCTGTTGTCAGGTGGGGCATGCAACTTGTGCATGGTATGCAGCACAAGCAAGGGGATGAGAAGGATTTAAGCTAAGAGATGAGTTCTTTGTGTTTCCAAAAGTTCCATGAAGGTCTTCAATGTCCTTGCAGACAAACTTAGTCTTTAAATTCTTATTTGTAGATCCCTGCAGAATGTACTGCCTGGAGCTGGACTGATAAGGGAGTAAACTGACCCAGTTGGAACTTGAATCTGAACTCCTAGCCCTGGTCTACACTAGGATCTTTTTCCGAAATAACCCCACCAAGTTCATATTTACAAGCAGTGCATCCACACTACTAAGCCTGTTATTTCAAAATAACGGGCTGTGGAAATTGAACTCTGTACTCCTGCTTTTCACGAGGAGTGACACTAATTCCAAAATAGTAATTTCAAAATAACATTAGTGTGGACACTCTGGTGCTGCTAATTTGGACTTACTGGCCTCTGGGAGGCCTCCCGCAGCTGTCTAGAGTGCTTCCTGGGGCTCTCAGTATGAGCGGGAGGCCTCCCGCAGCTGTCCAGAGTGCTTCCTGGGGCTCTCAGTATGAGGTAGCATGTCCATATTAATGGAGCCTGCTTCAGACTAATTTCGAGGCTTCTCTGTAGTGAGGACACTCTAGTTCAAATTTGTTAAATCGGGAATTCTTAAGTCAAATTTAGTAATTTCAAAATAGTTTCCTAGTGTAGACATGGCCCTAGAGGATCTGGGTAATTCAGATCTGATGCATACCTAGAGAATCTGGGTAATTCAGATCTGATGCATACATCATTAGCCATCCCCTTAGACAGATAGTTCTTTGAATTAAATGGGTACACATTTCTCAGCTGGTAGGATTTTTTTCTCCTCATTTTCAGGAGTCTCCTTAAGTATAAACAGTAGTAGATCAGGCTGTGTCATAGGCCAGTCAGCTGTTCCAAAGAGCAGCGCATAGTGGACATACTGTGACTTATATGATTGGATACATCATGAACCATGATAGGTAGAAAAAGCTACCATACAGCAGTCAAAAACTGGAGTGTCCAGCTTTGCAATGATGTATACCATCAGTCTCTACCCTTGTTAGTTCATATGAGATGTTCCTTCATGTGGTCACTGATCCACAAGCCCAGGCAAAAGTTTATTTGGCCCAGAGAAATAGTTTTTAAATTGAACATTTGCCCTAAAGCTCAAGGGAACTGATTATCTTGCCTAAAGAAATATAACTTACCCCGTGGGTTAAGGTGGTATGGTCCTTGGTTACTGTCCAAAGGACTGTAGATGTACCAGACAGCAAGCATCTTCCTTACTGCAGCACCCCATGGACAATCTCACTTAATTTATAAACAGGCAGTGTTTTTTTTTTTTTTTTTTTTTTTTTTTAAAGAGTAAATGGCATAAAATTCTACATTAAACAAAATGATACTCATTTCCTTCCTGTCCTTTTTAAACTGTAAAATCTGACAGCTTCTTTAAGGCTAGATTTGAATATCTTTTAAAGCACCACTGAATCACTTGCAACAGGGTAAATGGGTCCCAAGTTAGTTGCCCCATCTGATATTGGTGTTACCCTCTCTGCTGGCAGTAGCAGAATTCCAGGGCCTTGCTGGGTGTTTCCCAGTGAAGGAGAACTCACAGTCTGGGTATGCATTTCTTTTCAGACTAAATATTTTCTCACACACTAAGAAAAAGAACTGGGAAGCTGATGTGAAACAGCATCTATTACCATTCACCTTTGTCCCCTGAGGAACATCCCCCAAAAAGGTGTTCCAATTCAAATGGAATATTTTGCATTGCATTGTCTACTATATGGAGTCTGTTCAGCAGAAACACAGTGAAATTAATGTTGAGATTGAAATTGTACCTGTCAAACGAGCTTTTAGAAAAGATGAATAAAAAGCTGAGCTTGTTGAAAACTTAGGGGGAGGAGGGAGAGGAGGGCAAATCACAAAGTGTTCGTGTTTGACAGTTCAAAATGGAAATATTTTGTTTACTCAAATCTGGCCCATGAAAACTATTGATAACCATGTTTCAGTTTTGACTGATACATATGAAAAATGAAAAAAGCCAGTGACAACTTTTGTGCCAAAAATCTGTTTCTCAAAAAAGTACTTTTTTTGAGGGGAAAAAAAACTTTGAAAAATGTTTATCAGATCAAATGTGAAAGCTTACAGTGGTCAATTAAAAGTATTCTGCAGGCATTTAGTGGGTTTGGGAGCACACATCCTATTGACTGTCAATGGGGTCTATACCTATATCCAGGGCTTGACAAACAGTGGTGAAAACCGCTCGCCAGCCCCGTACTGCACATGCGCAAGAGCCGCATTGCTCATGCGCACGCCGCGAATGAACGGGGTGCGTGGCTGAACATTGCTCATGCGCGCGCCGCGAATGAACGGGGTGCGTGGCTGAAATCTACTTGGCATGGGTGAGTAGATTGTATAGTTTGTCAAGCCCTGCCTATATCCCTTGAATACTTTTGAAAACCTCCGCTTAATATCCCATGTTTTGTCAAGAGACCTGCGCTAAGTTCCCAACTTGACCACTGCTTTGCTGGCTGACTGTTGGCAAGTTACTTATCTCCCTGGGCCTCAGTTAACTGTGGAGCAGCACCTCATTCACGGTGTGATGAGGTGGGCCTGGCTGGGTTGGAGCAGCCCACACCTGCAGCACAGTGGGCCCAGCCGGACTAGAATAGCCCAGTCAGGCCTGTTGCTGCAGGCTGCTTTGGCCAGGCCAGGCCCACTTAAGGCACACCACAGGCAGGGGCATGCTCCAGCCCAGCTGGGCCACCAGTTAATCAGTTACTGGTAAGCATCACCCAGTAACAATGATGATGCTTACCAGGTTAATTGGTTACCCCTTTACATTCTTAGTCCCAATGCCGTGCTCTATCCACTAGTGCACACTGCTCTAAGGAGAAGCCAAAGCCTGAAGGATTGGATCATTGTGACAGAGGATGTTTTGTCTCAGGGTTTTGTTAAAAGTACCATGGTCTGAGGGTTAGGGCAAGGGACTGGAAAGTATGAGTCTAAGATCTGCCACCTAGCTTGGCATGGGATTTTGATCAAGGTATTTCACTGCCCTGTGCCTCGGTTTCACCACTTGTAAAACAGTGGCGGTAATGCTGATCTAGTTCACAGTAGCTGTGTGATCATTAATATTTGTAAAGGGCTCTAAAATCCTTGCCTCATGATAATTGCTGCTTTTTATTAGGCTGCACCTATTTTAGTATCATCATTATTATTATTTATTTTAAACCTTGTGATTTTGTGGGCTTTGGTAATGTGGGGTTTTTTATTCCAATGCTTGGCACTGGCAATGCTGAGTTAGTTTTAGAGGGTGTTTTGGGATGACTTCCCTCAGACTGGACACGCACCATTTCAGAATGTTCATTTATTCGTCATGGTCCACCCCGCACCCCCCACTTCCATCCAGTGCAACCTCTGAGATCATGGAAGGCAATTCCTCTCCTCTCGAACATGAGTAAGGTCAAAGGAATACAAATCCTGGGATAAGAGGGGAACTCCGTGGCTCTTCTTCCCTCCCTCTCTTATCTTTGCTCCAGGCAGAGTGAGGTTCGGGAGCTCTGGACTCGTCTCCGGAAAGAACGGCCAGATCTCTTGGCCAGCTTTGAGGAATTCCTCTTCCATGTTTCATCGTACATCAGGGAGGTACATTATGAGAGAGAATCCATGGAGCAGGCACTAAAGAGGTAAGAAGGCCTCCACAGCAGGTCACCAGTGTGCTTCTGTGAACCAGTTCATACTCACTTAGATGCAGCCTAACCTGTTGCCTTATCCAGAACTTAAAGAGAAACCAGCAGTGGCTAGGATTAAGGAGGAAAAGATCTTTATGCCACGCACAATGTTGCATTGATTATCTTTTAGCCTGTTCTTTTCAGCGCTCTTATTAACATCTAGCCAGGGGCCAAGCTCCAACTGATGTGGTTTTCTCCCTGCAGAGAGGAAGGATGGTCTAATGATTCAAGCACCAGTGTAGGACTCTGCCCTTGAATTCCTGTGTGACCTTAGCAAGCCATTTAGTCTCTCTGTGCCTCAGTTCCCCATCTGTAATATGGGGGTAATCACACTGGCCTCCCTTGGAGAAGTATATTAAAGATGGAGAGATACTCACACACCATGCTGAGGGAAGCCATAATAGTACCTAAGACGGATGACTCTAATAAATACAACTATGCACAAATAAATATGCTCCCATGGAGCTGTCCAGTGGCCGTGGAATCCCTTGTCAGTGGCTGTGAACCCCAGTGTTTGGGTATGGGGCTATACCCATAAGCTGTTAGTGCCAATTCTAAATTAAATCTGTATCCTCCTATTTGGGAAAGATGATTCCCCACTCTCTCGCCTGCTTTATTTCTCTTTCTTTTCCTTTCCCCTTTGTTATCAGTCTCCCTCCCTCCAAGGGTACCATTTTGGGAGAGCGGGGACGGGGGAGCAGCAGCCATGCGTACCAGGACGCTGCTTTTTTTTCTTCCCATTCCCTGGACTATCAGGGAGCGAGGGGACAATACACAGATTTCATGAATTACTTCTCTGCTCCTCCCCTCACCAGCCAGGGGTGAGAGGCATGCACACAAGCCATGTACTTCCCCTCACTCCCTGATAGTCAGGAGAACAGGAAGAAAAGCAAGATGCATCCCGGTATGCCCAGCTGCTGCTTTCCCTGCTCTCCCAGAATGGCCTGCCTCTCTCTGTAGCAAGGAGACAGACCACGACAGAGAAGTCAGGTGTCTTTATGAAGAAATGGAGCAGCAGATCAAAGCGGAAAAGGAACAACTGCTCTGCCAGGTAAATCCTGGCCGTTTCCTTCCTACATGTGCTTAGCTGCGCATGCATGTTCATTCTTAAATGAGGCAAGTATTAGGTTTCCTCTGCATTTTCATGGGACTTCTGTTGAAATCTTCAGTGGCCTTGTTTTACTACTTGTGCAAGGGTCTGTGTTAGCTGGAGGAGATTTTGCCTGTTGCGGTGCTCATGGTGCCTCTCTACACAGAACCTCCACTAATAAGCTCTAGCACGGACGACAACTATAGCCTAATCTGGGCGTCATTTTTTAAAACTTTGCCTTGTTGAGAAGTTGTGGCCTCTGCTCTCCAGGGGCCAAAGAATACCCTCTTGTTTTCAATGCAGGAAGATATTAACCGAGGAGAGTCCTTTTCCCACCTGTGATATTAGTCCACTTGAGAGCGGTGATTGAGGGGGAATTTAGCATCTGGGAAGATGAAAGGCAACCAGAAGCATCTTCTAATCTAGAAGAACTGCTGGGTGTCTCCTGCCCTCCTCTTCCGTGAGCAACTCCCCAGCACTGAGGCTGTTGGAAGAAAGGGAAAGGCGTTCCTTGTAAATCTTCTGCAGTGGGAGGCGCAAAATGAAGAGAGTTGGGGAAATGGGTGGGTGTGAGGGATCAGCTGGGATGTTCCCTGCAGACACTCAACCACCCTGTGGGGAACAGGCTCAGTGGAGAGTCCCACAGCTTTCCTTTGTCAGACGCAGGAAGGGGTTGTGGTGGCTCATTCGGTGGCAGGCTCCTAGGCAGCAGTGATGTTATGGTCCTGGGTATTGTCAGTGCAGGGTTCTGGGGGCAGTGTGGAAATCTGTGGGTCTTTGTACTCTGTGCAGGAATCACAGAGGCACAACAGGAGCAACCTGCTGCAGAAGGAGCTGCGCAGCAAGGAGCAGGAGCTTGAGAAAATCCTCTGCCGGCAGAAAAAGGTAACCTGGTCCAGAGCCTTCCTGAAGAAACAGGAGCCCCTCAGTGTCTTCCCTGAATTCCTTTTAACTGCCCTGAGAACTGCCCCCCTGCTCCTGAAGTAGTGCTTAGGGTTGCCAGGTGTCCGGTTTTTGCCTAGACAGTCCATTATTTCTGGCCTCTTTCTAGGGTTGCCAGGTGTCCAGTATTGACCCAGGCAGTCCGGTATTTTCGCCTCCTGTCCAGTAAAAAAATTCAGAAAATACTGGACACCTGAAATGTCTGGTGTGTTCTGATTTTTTTTTCCCCTACCAGGATGCAAAAATACTGGACACCTGGCAACTCTAAGATACACTTGGCAACTAGGCCCAGACCCCGCACCCTCGGACACTCTGCTTATCTGGGGGGAGAGGGGAAGGGGCTCAATCAAGAAAACAAGATGGCCGCTGGCTAAAAAGACCTGAAGCAAGGGGAAGCAATGTCTTCCCTGGGTCTTAGTACTCAACTCTACCATCTCTCACTTAAAGTGGCCATGCTGTTTTAATGCTGTTTTATTTTGTTTATTTTATTTTTTATTTTTATTTTTATTTTTTTTGCTTAATAACTTTTGGGGTCCTTTTTTTATTTTGTTTTTGTTCGTTCAACAACTTCGGTCTTCCCCCTGGATTATTTTATGTTGTTTCAGTGGTCCATGCTGAAATTGGGGTGCTATTCTCTTCAATAGGTAGACTGTGGGCTGAAGCCAGACCGCAAGATGCTTTTGAATGGACTGTGATTGGATTGCCTGAGTTCTGTGCCCAGCTCTGGGCTGATGTATGTGACCGGGGCAATTGACTTAACCTCTCTGTAACTCATATACTTGCCTTCCTTTGTGAAGTGCTTTGTGATCTATGGATTTAAAGCTCTCTGAGATCTTATACCAGACTAGCTGGACCGTAAAAGCAATCTAATATGACAAATCCCAAACTGAGATGCATGCAGATCTCCTGTCTGGCTTCCGACTATATGTATTCCATTCTGTCACGATGGGCTTAACCCAAAGCATATCTACTAGCCTATCAGAGGACCCAGTGGTACATTCTCCTCTCCTAGGCTGCTGATGTTTGACTAAAGCTGCCAGAAATAAGGGCTCCCACTTGAATGTAGCCTTACCTCCCACTCCCAAGAGGTGCTAGTGCTCTGTGACCTACAGGAATCAAATATTGGCTTGACTCCAACACTGCTATAATCCTTGTTTCAGCCAGATGGTCCCCTTTCTAGCAAGATAAGGCAAGGCAACTATGTTTACTCTTCTTCATTATTGTATGGCTACGTCTCCTAAAATCATGCAGTGAAGAAATAAGTGCTCTGGGTCATGTAACACTATGCTGTTTGGGTAGTTGTGTCAATATTTGCACGGGGCGTGCTCTGATTGTTGCATGAAGAATGAGATCATTCTTTGGGTAAACTGGATGTACTGATCTAACGTCCTGTGACGAAGGCTTTCTGAAGTGGTGCCCTGAATAGTAGTCATGTTCTTCAGTGCCCATTAGACCTGTGCCCTCCCTCCATAACACACCCCCCACACACATACACACACACACTGAGTATGGGATGGGGTGGGGATGGAGAATAGAATCCCATGGCCCAGTCCTAATCTGGTGTAAATGGTCATAATTCTACTGACTTCAATGGAGTTGGGCCAACTTATGTCACCTGAGGATCTGGCTCCAAACCTCAAGGTATTTCAAGGGCCACATGATGACTGAACGACCTTGGCTGGCAATGGCATTAGAATAAAGCCCTGGGCATCTAATGTTAGGGATCCATTACAGTCCTAATGCTGAAGTAAAAGTATAGAGAAGCCTCACTTGCTTCCATGTGATAAAAGAGAAAAAGGGGCAAACAGTGGGATGGCAAACTACTCAGGATAGCTAAATCCAATGCAAACTGCAAAGAGTTACAAAGGGATCTTGCAAAACCGGGTGATGGGGCAACAAACTGACAGATGAAATTCAAAATTGATAAATGCCAAGTAATGAATATTGGAAAACAGTCCAACTAGACATATGAAATGAGGGGGGGGGTGTCTAAGTTAGTTGTTACCACTCAAGAAAGTGGTTGGGAATTGGGTAGAGAATAATACAGAAAATACCATGTAAATCCATAGTACACTCCACTCCCTGAATACTGTATGCATTTCTTGTCACCCCACCTCAAAATGGAAAGACTTGGAAAAGGTGCAGAGATGAGGGGCAGGGGGAATCATATAAAAAGAGACTAAAAAGACTAGGACTTTTCAGCTTGAAAAAGAGATGGCTATGAGACAACATGATAGAGTTCTATAAAATCATGACTGGTATGAAAAATATGAATTAGGAAGTCTGTTTACTCCTTGACATAACACAAGACTCAGGAGTTCCCCAATGACATTACTAGGCAGCAGGTTTAAAACAAACATAAGGAAGTATTTCCTTTATACAACACATAGTCTGCTTGTGAAACTCATTGCCAATGGATGCAGTGGAGGCCAAGATTATAATGAGTTTCAAAAAAGAGCTAGATATGTTCCTGACTAGAAGCAATGGGCTTGAATTGCAGCAGGGGAGGTTTAGGTTGGACATTAGGAAAAACTTCCTAACTGTCAGGGTGGTTAAACACTTGAATAAATTGCTTAGGGAGGCTGTGGAATCTCCATCTCTGGAGATATTTAAGAGCAGGTTAGATAGACATCTTTCAGGGATGATATATTCTAGATGGTGCTTGGTCCTGCCGTGAGGACCAAGCTGGGCCTTAAACTCTCGAGATCCCTTCCAGTTCTAGTGTTCTATGATTCTGTGGAGGATAGGTCCATCTACAGCTATTCACCAAGATGGTCAGGGATGCGACCCTGGGAATAGATCACTCAGGCTACGTCTACACTGGCATGATTTTCTGGAAATGCTTTTAACGGAAAAGTTTTCCGTTAAAAGCATTTTCGGAAAAGCGCATCTAGATTGGCAGGACACTTTTCCGCAAAAGCACTTTTTGCGGAATAGTGTCCATGGCCAATCTAGACACGCTTTTCTGCAAAAAAGCCCCGATCGCCATTTTTGCGATCAGGGCTTTTTTGCGGAAAACAAATCTCTGCCATCTACACTGGCCCTTTTGCGCAAAAGTTTTTCGGAAAAAGACTTTTGCCTGAACGGGAGCAGCATAGTATTTCTGCAAAAGTACTGACAATCTTACATGAGATCGTCCATGCTTTTGCGGAAATTCAAGCGGCCAGTGTAGACAGCTGGCAAGTTTTTCCGGAAAAGTGGCTGCTTTTCTGGAAAAAGTGGCCAGTTTAGACACAGCCTCAGTGATTGCTTGTTCTGTTCATTGCCTCTGAAGCACCTGGTATTGTGTGCCACTGTCAGAAGACAGGATACTGGGCTAGAGGAACCATTGGCCTGACCCAGTACGGACATTTTTAGGCTATCTCCAGAACTGGGATAGATATTGCCTATGAATAAGTAATAAAGAGAGTTCCCTGGTTGCTCTTTCAAGCTCTCCCAGCTGTGTGTGTGTGTAGCTGTGTAGATATTATTCTGACTAGGAACAACTGTCCATGGATGATAGCCCATATCAGCAAATAACCATGATGCAGGCAGCACATTGTAAACAGTGCAGTTGGCATCCAGAGGATGGTTCTAAAGTTCAGGTGTACTATCTGTTGGAACCAAAGTCCAAGTTAAAGAGGGAAAAGGCATCTTCAGGTGAGTAGAGGTCAGGCCAGAGGGCTGCTACAGCATAGAGAAAAGGCAGCCCTAAAAGGGTAAAAGGCCTAATTAGGGCTGCAGAATAATTAAGAGCAGCTGGCAGGGAGCTGGCCCAGGCAGATTGGGGCCAGCTGACTCCACTTCAGGCCTGCTGGAGGACTTTAAAAGCCTCCCCAGTTAGCAGATGGGGGTGGAGAGTGAGAGTAGGTGTAGGCAGATGCAGACCAGAAATGCTACAGAGCTCGAGACAGCAGGGGAGGAGTCCCAGAGGAAGTAGTGGGGCTCTGTACCCCAGAAACCAGCTGCAGGCCTAACCCCTGGCAAAGGGGGAAGGCTGTTGGCCCAAACACAGGCCAGGGAAAGGGGGCCCCCTGCCACACAAATCAAAACAATTATATTCACTCACTATTGGGGAGGAGGGGCTAAGGATAACACAGACTAAACTTATCCTGCCAGAGATGCTTGTGATGGGGTGAGGTCACAGAAGACCCCTTGGGGGTGCTTCTCAGGGTGCTGATACAGCCACTGCCATTGGCCATCCTGCTCTCTGGGGTTTCTCTCTGCTCCTTTCTGCTCCACTGGTCTCCCCTGGCCAAGGTGCCAAACTGAGATCACCCTCCCCTCCCCCCCGCCCCGAGAAGCAGTACAAACACTGAATCTCTTCAGGTTTAAGGAGAATGCAGTTTAGGGCCCAGCTTTGTGGGATACTGCTCCCCAAATGGGATCAGAACCCCAAATGAATTCTATAGGTAGCTGCCTTTGACAATGAAAGATGGAATGTACACACTGATTGTTCCCCCAGGTAACAGTCATTTACACTGGGCTTGATAGTAAAAGTGATTTTATTACGCACAAGCCGTAGGATTTAAATGGTAATAAGTGAGAACAGACAGAGCAAAGTAGGTTGCAAACAAAAAATAACAACCACTTAGCTAACTCTTAACGCTAAATCCTCAGTACAAACTTTTTCAAACTCATCCTAAAACTGTTCCTTTCCCAGCTAAGCTTTCCAGCCAGGGAAGTTTCCTCTTCCACTGAGGTTTCTGGTTCACTCTCCTGGGTGTGCCCACCGAAGACCAAATACTCCTACTTTCCTATTTTTTTTTAAAGATTCCTTTTTGCATGGGAAATCACCTGGCCAGTTGGGATGAACATGTGACTTTCCCAAACCAACCACTGCTAAGACTTAAAGGACAAAAGAGATTAACAGTTGGTCATCAGGACATTGAGGGTCACACCTGGGATGGCTTTCATTCACACATTTAAAACCATAAAAACCACTCCACACGTCTAATTTCACACACAATAATGATACATACACCAAAATAAGATAAACAGATCTAAGGGACTATGACATGAAGATTGATAGGTTACACAAAGCAATTTGTCCAAAGCATTTTTTAGTTATGTGCATTTGTGTCCATAAGTATATTTTCTGAAGCATGTGGGGGTGGACAGACCATCCACAAATCCTCTTGGGAAGAATGCATTTGCCATTCTGGTCCATGGACTGTGAAGCTAAAATTACCAGACAAGTGGAGATAGAACACCTGTCTGATCCGCTTCATTTCCCACCATTGAAATAACACGGGGAGGAAAATCCTTACTTGACTATGGAAAATTGTGGCCCTTACGGGCACAGTGAGACTGAATGCAGTCTGTAATTTGCAGAATCCATTTCCTGTCCACATGGTCTATCTCTTCCCTAGTGAAGTGGTTCCCCTCCAGTGCTAAATATCTGGGGGGCATGCATGAGGATGCCCCATGTATCCTGCATGGGAAACTCAGGGATTTTTTTAAGGTGGGTGGATTCATCCCTTCGCAGAGAGAAATGCAATAACTGGGGTGGGAGATCAGGCTAGTGACAAAGCAAGATGAGGCTCTGTGTTTGAGTCCCAGGTTCTGTGGGTTGACAAGACTTAATGATGTCTGTAATGGGCTTTAGGTCAGGCCCTCCGAGCATGGCAGCAGCACTCTTGCAACCCAGGGTGAAGGAGAAGAAGCACCTTGTGATGTGCTCTGGAGATGGCCTGTTTCACTGATGCTTGATGGGACCAAGACACTGGCTGAGTAGAGAAGCTACATAAAAGCTGATTACCCTATTCCCCTCACCCCGATTTTCATGTATGTGGCAGTGATGGCCCTAAGCTTACCTTACACAAGACCCTTGTGTTCAGTGGCTGCCTCTCAGTTTTGCTCTCCTCCCTCTGCTCAGAGCTTCCTCGCTGCTAATTACCCACCTGGTGCCTGCTGACTGAATCCAAGGATTACTTGTGCCAGTCAGAGGTGTTCGTGTCAGTGCCAGCCATGCGGGATACCAGGGCTGCTGCTCTGAGAGGGGACTCCCTCATGGTCATATTCAAGTGGCAATAGATACATATATACACACAGCCATAAGTATTCCTGGCAAACTGCCTCAAACCAATAGCACAATCCTGCCATGGAAGAATTGCTGTCCAAGCTAGCTGGGTTCAGTTTATACGCCCAGTGCTGTGCAGTCATCATAGCTGGTATTCGGGCTCATTGAAACTTTTTTGGATTAAAAATAGGGTTTTCAGCTAAGTAAAAATTTGTACTGAAAGTATCTCTCTGCTTTCATCAACACATTTCATTGCTTTTTGCGGAAAAAGGCAATCTTTTCTGTTTTCAGCACAACATTTTTCTTTATTTCTGTTTTGTTTTTGTTATTTAAAAAAACAAAAATCAGAATTTTACATGGGAGAAGAATGAGCTGTCTTCTGACCAGCTCTAGCTGCTGGAATGCTTTGTGGAAGAGTTAGGTTTTCAGAAATGGTTGGTAGGAGATGGGAGGGCCTTAGCTGAAATCGATGGACTAGACAAATCTGCAAAAATCAAAATATCAGAGACTCTTTGTTCATTGGGTGTGTTCTGGGGGTTTCCTGGTGTGCAGTCCATAACCAAACCAGCTAATGATTTTGCTGTAGATACATGCAAACTTGTCCTTGCACAGGGCTAGAGTAGGGTCCCAGATATCCACATGGCTTGTGTAGCACCAAGCAGCTCTGTCTAATCAACAGGCATGGAAGAAAGCTGGCCATCTCTTACATAGGAAGGTTGAGAGAGATGGGGGACAAGTAACTGGGATTCACTGGGTCTTCTCCCAGTGCTTAGCAAGCGAAAACATTTCAGTGTTGAAGGTGTTTATAAGGCATCCTCAGAAAAAGGGCTCCATCTGTGGGCTTCCAAGAAATTCAAGATGAATGGCTCTTATGATCTAGTATTTGTGCACACCACCTGTCTCTCTTTGGCCTATTAGATCAGGTTCAGCATACCATGCCATGAAGGAGAACCAGGCTTCACCTGGTATAGTTGGATGCTTACATTCCATGGGAGTCTTCTGTGGTGCGGTGGCCGTGCATGAGATCCTGCCTTATCTCAGTCTTGCTTTCAGATAAGGGTCTGATATAAGCTTGCAGCAAGAAGACAGTTCAGAGTACACATCCCCTCCTCGAGGGGCCGGAGTAAGGTTGGTATGTGCGTGAGATCAGATCTCACCTTATCCTTAGCTTGACCTGGAGCCTGGGGAATAGAGTGCACATCCCCTTGTCTCCGGGGCTCAGCAGGGGGCTTGCTTGTGACGATTCTGATGCAGGTAGGCCAGTCATTCTGGATACCCATCATTATGGGAACTGATGCCTGACACCTTTGGTCAGTCCCTGCCAAAGTGCTTGTAGGCCTTCTCCTTCCAGTCTGTAAGTGGGCAGCCGTGCTATGAGATTTAAGGGGGTATTTTGAGTGAGTTCCAAGAAGCCCGACTTCCAGTTCCCTGCTCTATTAGTTTCACTCATTGCTTCTGCCAAACAAATAGCCAAGCTGAAACTCACAAGCCTCAATGAAAGTCTGAGGCCGCTGCCTATCATTCAGAACCGTGTCGTCTTGTGGCTTCCTTGTGCTCCTCATCTGCCTGCCTGTACCCATCTTGTTTCTTGTCTTACGCCGATGCAGTGAGCGGCTACAAGCGGCTGTTTGTTCTGGTTGTGCAGCACCTCCCTGTCCACCTGGGTTCCGGCTCCACAGCCTAGTGGCAAGTGCTCCTGTAATACAAACAACAAATACTAATGGCCTGTTAGATGAGCAGAGTTACTGATGCGCCACCATCCTCTTTCCCATTCTCCTCCGAGCCTGCCGTTCCCTGGTAGGGTGTGAGTGTACCACAGTTGTGTGCTGAGAGGTGCTGATTCAGAAGGATTAATGTGGGAGAGCAGGCTTTGAATCTCCTGGCTTGTAGCTTTACAGCACACTGAATGCAAAGCAGGCAACTTTTGTTTGCATCCTGAGCAGCTGAAACTGGAGCAGCCCCTTGATAGCGTGTCGTGTATCTGCTTTTCTGGCCTGGGGCACGATTGTGGATTCCTGAGTCTAGAAGGGGGCTCTTATTATCCTGTTGGCTTCTTTCACAGCTGGAACGTGAAATCCAGTCTCTGAACTCTGAGCAGCTGGAGACCCGGGTGCAGAACGAGCGGCTCCGGCTTCTGAATGAGAACCTCCTGGAACATCTGGAGAGAACCAAGTGGGAGCTGGAGGTGGCCAAAGAGCATCTGGAGCGTCTCCAGAAGGAGGCTCAGTGCGAACAGGAGCAGAAAGACAGGTGTGGCTGGATGGCGGTTACAGAATTTGCTGGGGAAGTGGGTTGCTACGTGTGCCACCTGACTCACCTGGTGCCCCACACGAGGAGGCATCTAGTGGCTAAGGAATAGGACTGGAAGTGTGAAGACATGGGTGTGATTACTGGCTCTTTTGTGAGCTCAATACCCGATCCTGCGGGAGACACGTAACCCTCCCTCTGCGATGGCTTTCCCATTGATAGCACATGGCGAATAGCCCCCTGCTAGACTTGTCAGGCTAAATGAACATGTTAATAGAGGCTGGGCTGGAAAGCACGGAACACGGGCAAAGAATCGTTATGTTTATGTAAAGCAGTATGGGGGTTTCTTTCATCTGCTCTCCAAGGGTATGTCTACACTACCCGCCTAGTTCGAACTAGCGGGGTAATGTAGGCATACCGCACTTGCAAATGAAGCCCGGGATTTGAATTTCCCGGGCTTCATTTGCATAAGCCGGGCGCCGCCATTTTTAAATCCCGGCTCGTTTGAACCCCGTGCAGCGTGGCTACACGCGGCACGGACTAGGCTTCCTAATCCGAACTACCGTTACTCCTCGTCTGAACTACCTAGTCCGTGCCGCGTGTAGCTGCGCGGCACGGGGTTCGAACGAGCCGGGATTTAAAAATGGCGGCGCCCGGCTTATGCAAATGAAGCCCGGGAAATTCAAATCCCGGGCTTCATTTGCAAGTGCGGTATGCCTACATTACCCTCCTAGTTCGAACTAGGAGGGTAGTGTAGACATACCCCCAACTGATTGTAGCCGGAGCTAGAGAGGCTACAATAATGGTGTCCTTGATTGTATTGCAATCTCTGGTAATCGCTGTGGGGTGCATCTCTTCTGCCTTTATCTAATAATCACAATACTCAGAAGCTTTCATCTCATGATGCATTTCTAACAGAGGCACATAGCATTATGTCATGACCCATGGGTCTCAAACCTGGGTCCATCAGAGCAGCCACGCTCCAACCAGCAGCAGCTTATGTAGGACCTTCAAGGCCTAGCCCCAGTGTGAAGCTCTGCCTCTGAGGTCCAATTGGCCCACAGATTCCAGCAGCAGGAACCTCTCTGAGCAACTGAGCTCCAGCCTGCAGGTCTTGTGCTTCCTTCTCCATTTCCTGGCATCTCCAGCCAGTTTGACTCCTAGTGTCTGACTTAGAGTTCCTGACCTCCCAGCATCCTGACCCACCCAACTCTTATTCCTGTATTGTGACTGCAAGCTCTGGCTGGCCACAACCTATTCCCTATTTTACAAGTAGGGTAACTGAGTTGTAGTGAAGGAAAGGAGCTTGACCAAGGTCACACAGTAGGCTAGTGGCAGAACCAGGGGTTGAACACAAGTCTCCTGCCTCCCAAGCCAATGCTCTACCCACTGAACTATCATTGAAGTTGGCAAGCTTGTACTTCTAACAATATCACGTGTGTGCATGAGAGACTGGGAGGCAGGGAGGGGGGATTTTTCTTCCTTTCTAGTTTCTCAACTTTGTTTCTTTCTTTTCTGTTTTCTTCCTCCTCCCTTCACACAGGGATGTGTTTAGAGTCTCTAAGAACATGCAGACAGAGAAGCAAAGTCTTCTTCGACAGCTGGAGCTCCTCAGGTGAGGGGGGTGTTGAGAGAAGAGGTGGAAGGATTGGGGATGTTACCCACCATGCAGACAGAAATGGGTTCACCCAAGAATACTTGTTTGCTCTGGCGGGAGTTTGCTGGCTTCCAGCCTTAGTGACTCTTCCAGAGATAAAGCTGGGAATCATCCAGCCAATAACCAAAGGGCTTTGGGTTGGTTCATTGGCACTGGCCCACTTCTGGCCCACTTGTTTCCCAATGTGCCAATGCTACTGAAGCACCATCTGAGTTCTTTGTCTCTCCAGGAACCTGGGATAATATTTAATGGATTCTCTGAGGGACCAAGTCAGCCTACTTGACGTCCTGCATCACAAAGGCCATAAATTGTCATCCCGCAATTCACACAGTGGTGGGGATTATTCTTTTTGCCTGGTTAAGGGAATGCAATGGAGTCCCCTCATTACCGAGACCCTCACCCAACCATCTGGCAGGAAGGGTGTCCATAGTCCCCTAACTAGCTCTCCTCATAGAGCGTCCCACTGTTGGCATTGGCCCACTCCCCACGAGCGCATGGTAACTGCTTGTCTCTCCCCACCCTTCCTTTGGCGCAGAGACATGAACAAGAAGCTTCGAGATGACAGAGATGCCTTCGAAGCCAAGAAGCTGGTTAGTCTAAAAAAGAAAACCCTCGTCCCCAAACACCGTCCTTTCGACTGCTGCTGCTGTTGTCACCACTCGGGGGCCCTGCACTTCCACGGGGGACACTGACCTACGCACCAGAAGCCTGGCGCTGCAGGACAGACTTCCCCATGCCTCTCCCATTCCGGAGAGCGTGGCATTGATTACCTTCAAGCCAGTGGGATGGGGCTGCTGGAGACTATTGGCCAGGGGAGCCCACATGTGGGGCCCTGGCATGTTTTTGTGATCGAGCCGGGGAATCCCAGGAAAAGGGCACTGGTGCTGAATCCCGCGCCTGAGGCTAGGTTGTGTGAGCCTGAGTGGAGATGGGAGGGGAGAGTCCCAGAGGGACCGTCTGCCTGCAGGCTCCTGTCTTCGCAGCCCCCGTGCCCCAGGTGAGGTTAGAGCAAGTAGTGTGGCCTGGCCCCTGCTTCCTTTGTGCCAGTCCCTGCCAGCCTGGCCCCAGCCCTGGCCCTGCCAAATGTGCCGCACAGACATGCAACAGCAAGCTCCCAATCGGGGACGGGGCTTGGACAGGGCTGGCCCTACCATGAGGCGAACTGAGCTGGTCGCCTCAGGTGCCATACTGTGGGGGAAGGGGCGCGACTAGGACCCAGAGTGTAGAAAATGGTGTCTGCTGCTGGCCCAAGCGAGGGGGAGTCATTTGAGCTCCCTGCCTCAGGTGCCAAAATGCTGTGGGCCAGCCCTGGGCTTGGACCCAATAAAAGAAGGGGAAGAGCACCACGGGGTTCACCTTCACCCACAGTGTGATCATTGTGGGGAGCGCAGAGCTACTGGCACCGTATGATGCCTGAGGCTGGCGGGATCACAGTATTTACTTGAATGCTGCCTGGCCTCCCAGACTGGTCAGAGCATGTGGTGTAGGTGGAAGTCCTTGCAGGCTCCTGATTCATCCTGCAGCAAAGCTCCTTTCCCCTGCCCTTCACCCGCGCTCAGATCCATGCAGGCAACCAGGGCTCCTCTTTCCCCATCCCTGCCACCTTGCTCTGTGGGTGGAGACTTGGAGGGGCCAGCCTTCCAGCAGCGTCAGTGAGCACGCAAGGAGGCGATGCTGCAATGCCAAGGGCTGGGGTCAGGAGGATCCAGCATGTCCATGCCAGAATCCAGTGTAAGACCAGCATGATGAAATGGGAGTGGCAGCATGTGGGAATCAGTTCCAGGGGTCCCATCAGCACCTTGGCTGTGAGCTGCTCCTCCTGGAAGAAAGGCTGGCGTAAAACCCAAAGCAGGAAGGGATGGTTTCAGAACAAATTAATTGTAGTGGCACTTTGCACTGGGCCTTGGGGGGTGGTATTTGTTTCAGAATCCTGCAGGGGAATTTCTTGAAGCTGCTAACTGTATGAATGCATGTAGTGGTGCCAGATGGTCTGGTAGTATATGCAAGGTCATAGCTGGATTGCATCCTATCAGAGTGCACGGTTCCAGGCAGTCTTCCAGCTCCACCTGGGTCCTGGGTGGAAAGCATCAGGCATCTGGAGGTGGTGCTAGCTCACCTGTTCTGGAGTAGCCCAGAGATGGTAATGGTCTTTCAGGTTGTCCAGTCTGCTTGCTGGCTTTTTTGTAGGGACTGGTAGTATATGCAAGGTCATAGCTGGATTGCATCCTATCAGAGTGCACGGTTCCAGGCAGTCTTCCAGCTCCACCTGGGTCCTGGGTGGAAAGCATCAGGCATCTGGAGGTGGTGCTAGCTCACCTGTTCTGGAGTAGCCCAGAGATGGTAATGGTCTTTCAGGTTGTCCAGTCTGCTTGCTGGCTTTTTTGTAGGGATTTCATGTGCCATTGGCATGGTAGGAGACTGGTCTCTCCTGGAAAAATCACCCAATACAAACAGAGCACTTTATTGCGAAGTCCAATGCAAACAGGAAAACCAGCGCTTTCCCCTTTTTCACAGTATTCTGCTGCAATGCCAGGCTTTTCCATCACAATGACCCAGGTTCTCAAGCTCCTGTGGTTGTGGAATGATAACAGCATCCTCTTGGCATCCTTGCTTTTCCTCTTAATGATCTGTTTGTGTCGAGGATCTGGCCTGTCCCCATTCTCCCCTTTTACCTTGATTTCAGACTGGGGCAGTTGTACTAGTGCAAAGCACTTGTGACACTAGTGCAGCTCATTTGCATTGGTTCAGTGGCATTTGGTGCAAATGTTTTTGCATCCCCTTCCTCTTCCTAGAGGTTCAGCTCAGATTGCATCCTGCTGTGATATTGCTATCCTCATCCTCCACCAATACGAAGGAAGTCAGGGCCTGATATTTCTGATATTAAATAAAATGGGGGGTGGGAAAGAACCCTCTCTGAGGCAGTCTATGTAGCAGGGACCTACCAAATTAATGGTCCATTTTGGTCAATTTCATGGCATTTTAAAAATCATATCTTTCATTATTTCAGCTATTTCCATCTGAAATGTCATGGTGATGTCATTGTAGGGGTCCCTACTCAAAAAGGAGCTGTGGGGGAGGTCGCATGGTTATTGTAGAGAGGGTTGCAATACTGCTACCCTTACTTTTGTGCTGCTGCTGGTGCCGGTGCTGCCTTCAGAGCTGATCAGCTCAAGAGTGGCAGCTGCTGGTTAGAAAGCCAGCTCTGAAGGCAGAGCTGCTGCTAGCAGCAGTGCAGAAGTAAGGCTGACATGGTAGGGTATTGCTACCCTTACTGCACTGCTGCCTGCAGAGCTGGGCTCTTGGTCAACAGCTGCCACACTCTGGCTGCCAAGCTCTGAAGGCAGCAGTGCAGGCCTACAGGTGGCCTGGTACGGTATTGCCAATCTTCGTCCTGCACTGCTGCTGGTGGGGAACTGCCTTCAGAGCTGATCGCCCAGTCAGCAGCCACTGCTCTGTGGCCACCCAGCTCCAAAGGCAGCACAGAAGTAAACTTCGACCCTCCCTAAAATAACCTTGTCAGCCCCCTGCAACTCCTTTTTGGGTCAGGGCCTCCAGTTTGAGAAATGCTATGAAATCTGTATAGTAGAGAGTAAAAGCACACAACAGACCAGATTTCATGGTTGGTGATGCATTTTTCATGGCCGTGAATTTGGAAGGACTGTAGACATAGCCTCCAGAGCAGAAACAGAATCAGTTTGTTTGGTTCTTTTTGTCCATTCAGCAGACAGTCACACTACAGACACATGTCCACTCTAAGCTATTTCTGCCCCAGCACTGTGACTCTCATGTCTCTGAGTAGGGGGGGTTAAATGTATTTTCATTGACAGAGGTGATGGCAATAGGAAACTGTTAGCACCTTATTCAAGTGCCATCCACAGATGCCATTAATGTGAAGATAGTGCGTCTGAGGCACAGATTGTATCTAAGAATGGAATCTGTCCCAGAGCCTCTGCCTGGGTGTGGCATTGAAACCTCAGCCACAACCAACATTGCCAGTCAGGAAAACACCAATCAGTTTTTTCTCATATTTCCTTATTTTCCTTCCTTATTTACACCCTCGTTGGGTGTAAATCTGCAAGGTTGCAATGAAGTCAGTGGGGGTGGTGCTGATTTATGTCAGACCCATTTTTTTAGCCCTGTATGTGAATGTTACTGTGTAGCGTTAGTGACCAAAACCTCAGTTACCCACAGCGTTAGATCCACCATAGATAGCATAGATAGCAGTTAAAATCTGCTCCAGAACAATATCAGTTCAGCATTCAAACAAAACTAGGCCACTTCAGCTGTTACAATAGTTGGGTCTCTTATTTTGAACCATTTGAACATTTAACTATTGTGTGTGTGTGAGAAAGAGAGTGTGTGTGCATGCATCTGTACGTAATGTCGATGGCGCAATGTGTATTGAACATCATGAGATAATTTGTCCCTCAGGAAAGAATTGGTAACCTGGGCAGGTTATAATGGGAACTGCTTTCAAAGCCTCTGTGTGTATTTCTGAATGCAGGGCTTTCTTTCCATGGTGGTTTCCCTAGCTGAGGGGATGTCGGACATCCTAGCCTAGTGTTCCAATTAATATTGGGCTAGTGAAACAGCTTGCTGCTTTTAAAGGCAGGAATTCTGTTGGTCGACCAGTCCACATCTCATATCACTATGAAGCGTAATTCAATGACTGTGAGGCTGTCAGGAACATTGATTTGCCACGGTTCCGTTACAGGGACTGTACCTATTGGAGGGTGATGCAGGTTCTATCTATCTGCACAGCTATAGGGCCTTTTCTACATTTTCTGTGGTTCTGGCATGTGTGTAACAGAGCCCCTCATGGAGAGGGAACATATGTATTTTTAAATATGCAAAAATAATTTAAAAATGTTAGCTCTTTGTAAATCTTAGGAAGGATAATGTTATTTCTGTGAAATGGAGGGGTAAGGAACAAACACATGGGATAGAGCGAGGGATATGGGACTGTATATGTCAAACTGCAACAAGCCCCCGGACTCTCCCTGCACTCTTTTGGGAAGGGGTTTATCCCTCCTCCTTCCTAAAAGCGTCTAACATTGCCGTGGGCAGAGCCCTGCAAATCCATGAATATCTGCTTTATATCCCCTGCCACATCCTGGCAGATGCGGATATCCATGGGTCATTTTTGCAGATATGGATATGAATATAAATGTTGTATCTAGAACCCTGAAAATGTGTGAATATCTGCTTTATAGCCATGTGTCTCCACCTCTGTGGCTATGGATGCAGATGTCCAGAGATCATTTTTGCAGATGCAGATGTAAATACAAATTTTGTAGCCGCACAGGGCTCTAGCCATGGGTATGTTTGTGCAGGCCCCACTAATATGGTGTGGCTTTGCATCTCCCTCTAGTGGCTAGACCACATACATAGGTTCATGAACAAACCGCTCCAATCCCTCAGCTGAAGCAGTACAGACTCCTTTTAGATCCAGATGTCCCAGTGCTCCCTGGCCATGTTGTTATATGTGTGTGGTATGTGTTAGCGAAGGTGCTGTCCTGATCAGGCAAGATTCCTCTGTTCACCACTAGCAAGGCACTGGGACCTAGACTGCCAGGACATGCCAGTGGTGGAACGTGAAGGAGAACTGAAGGACATGCCTTCCCTCCACCCATAGTAAGTCTATGTATTCTGTTGTCTTCATGGAACCCAATGCCTTGTTGACATTGTGTATTGTACCATTGTGATGTCATCTTTGTGTTTGTACCATCTATGTAAAATACCAAAGTTGCGTGAAGCCAACAAGCTAATAAAAGCCTGACAACCAATGAGAAAAAAATCCCAGAAACGGTCTCTCTCTCTCGCTCTCTCTCTTTTTTTTTTTTTTTAAAGAACTAGGTATTTCTTTTGTAGGCAGCATTTACTCTCTGGGTTGGGCTGGCAGGTAACCGATTACCCAGGACTAACCTGAGTTCCCTAGGTGACAGAAGAGCTCTGCCGGCTTGCCCAACACTCATATGACACACATGATGGGGATGGTCCAAACACGCATGATTCCAAGTGCTGGAAGAACACACACACACATTTCAACTGCTGTTCCTCCCTCACACCCCTGCATGTTTCCTCCTCCGTCTGTGACTGAGTGCCTGTAGTGTTTTGTTTCACCCTGGGAGGAAGATTTGAACCCACATTGTAATATAAGCTCCTTGAAATGGGTTACCAAAGGTGCTTTGAATCCTTAGGGTGGGGGATAAATGATCTGTGGCTGCCTAAGAGTCAGGATATAATCTAATATCCAGCAGAACTGCTTTCTATAACCAGATCCCATGTGCGCTAGGGCATTGGCACAGTGTATATTTAAAGACTTTTCCTTTGCCAGGCTCTGGAAATAGAGCCAGCTCTTCAGTCCCACTGGGGTCTGGGCAGAGCAGCTCTCTGTGCTGGTTTCCACTGGGCTGAGATCTGGCCCCAAAAGTTTATTTTCTATGGTAATATTTTTAACTTGCTGTTGAACTTAGCTCTTGAGTCCAGAAAACTATTTTAAAATAACATGGATTTAGAATTGTTGTCGCCTGAGAAGCTACTGTTCCCTATTTAATTATCTTTTTAAAACTTGCCTGGGGATGGAATCTAGTAAGAAGGGTTGTTTGAGGGTGGAGGGTGGGATTTTTTTATTGGGGTGTGGCAGGTAAATATCCCAGCCAAGGCTGTGTGCATGCGAAGCACAACCCCTGGGACAGGGATGTAAGAGGTTAACTGGTTATTCAGTAAGTAGGCGGTTTATTGACCTGCTTACAAGGTAACTGGTTAACTGGCTCTGCCAGCTGGACCCTTTCTGCAACCATAGCAGGACCCGCCGGAGCAGCTCTTCCTGTCCCCACCCCCCTTCCCAGCTGCAGCTGGGCCAGGGCCAGGAGCAGAGCAACCTATGTGGCTGGTGGTTAACTGGTTAAACAAATCATGTAACTGGTTAACTGTTGTAGGCAGGTTTTACATCCCTACCCTGGGAGCACTGAGCCACTTGCAGGAGAGTTTTCTAGGGCAAGAAAAGCTGCTTCTGCTGAAGCTGAGTAGGTTATCAACCCACTCCCACATCCTCCCCTGGCTCCCTCTTCTTCTTCCTCCCCAAATTGTGTGTTAGTGCCTGTAGGCCTCCAAAATGCTGCATCTCTGGAGGAGAGACCTTACTCCGCCTCTAATCCCGGATAGGGAGCACACTTCCTCCTCCACGCCTTGTCTCTCTTGGTGTGGATGAGGGCTACCTGGATGAGGAGAGTCAGACTCATTGGGTGGTTAGCATGCTAGCCTGGGATTTAAAAGACCTGAGTTTAATTTCCTATAGACACCCAGCAAGCCCTCCGTCAAATCACTGAGGGGCTCTATTTGTGGGAACTTCCCTACCTCACAGGCTTGTCTATTTTCTTAAATAGCTTTTCGCTCATGCGCTCTGGGAGGCTGGCTGCAGGGGAAGGGGTCAGTCACACTAGGCTAAAAATGAGAAATGCCATTAAAAAGCTGCAGTGATGTATGGTATTAATTTAGATAGAAGATAAATTAACCTAGTCATTTCCAAGATTAAACAGTGTTAAATGAGGTTTGGGGCTTGTCATATTGAGCCCTTAGCCTGCTTAGTACCATGGCAAAATACCATTAAAATCCTTTTAACTATTAATTAAAGATAAAGAAAAAAACCCATTAAAGCATTTGAAATGTAAAGCATTAAATAAGGGTTTGATTTTAATAACACCCCTTGATCCCTTTCCCTTTAGCTGGAGTGAGATTTTAGAGACCAGTCTGACAGGCCCTTAGCTCTGGTCTACACGAGGACTTATTTCGAAATAACACCCCCCAAGGTCGAATTTATAAGCAGAGCGTCCACACGACCAACCCCATTATTTTGAAATAAATGAGCTGTGGCATTCAAAATCTGTACTCCTGCTTTCCATCAGGAATAAGGCTAGTTCCCCAACAGTTATTTCGAAATAGCAGTAGTGTGGCACTCCAGTGCCACTATTTCAAAATAACTATTCTCCAGAGACGTTTGAACGAATTATTCCCCAGTGCTTCTTGTGGCTCTAAGTCCGAGAAAGAGTGCCCACATTAAGGGAGCCTGCCTTGGACTAATTTCGAGGCTTCCTCATAGCGTGGACACGCTAGTTTGAATTTGTTAAATTGGGATTTGTTCATCTGAATTTACTAATTTTGAAATAGTTTCCTAGTGTAGTGGCCTTTGGGGGTACCAGAGAGGGTAATAAGTGTCTCTTTAGGTAAAAGAGAGGCTCATTGAGATGAGCTAGAACTGTTGCTGCTGCCACTGTTAATCTCATCCCATTTCACCTCAGGGTGGTTGGGATTCCGGGGTAGCTGGTAGGGGTGGTGATGTCATCTGGTTCCCTCTCTCTGGCTTTGCTTGGACAGGACATCTCTCAGGATTTGGATGATGAAGTTGTGGTGTCCCAGGAGGTGGTGGTGGTGGTAGCCCTGAGGGCAAAGCTAGCTCCAGTAGCCTCCATCTGCTCTTCTCTTTTCTCCCTCAAAGGTCTCTCTCTCTAAGGCTCCACAAAGGAAGTGGTAGGTGAAATATCCTATACCCTTAGGCTACGTCTACACTGGCCCCTTTTCCGAAAGGGGCATGCTAATTTTACAGGTCGTAATAGGGAAATCCGCGGGGGATTTAAATATCCCCCGCGGCATTTAAATAAAAATGTCCGCCGCTTTTTTCCGGCTTTTAGAAAAGCCGGAAAAGAGCGTCTACACTGGCCCCGATCCTCCGGAAAAAAGCCCTTTTCCGGAGGATCTCTACTTCAATGTAGGAATAAGAGATCCTCCGGAAAAGGGCTTTTTTCCGGAGGATCGGGGCCAGTGTAGACGCTCTTTTCCGGCTTTTCTAAAAGCCGGAAAAAAGCGGTGGACATTTTTATTTAAATGCCGCGGGGGATATTTAAATCCCCCGCGGATTTCCCTATTACGTCCTGTAAAATTAGCATGCCCCTTTTGGAAAAGGGGCCAGTGTAGACGTACCCTTATTGTTTGCTCTGCCAGTCTGGCCCTAAAACCTGACACGCCGATGTTGGTTCATTGCTTCCCAATTCTGCATCTTCTGTTGCTGCCAAGCAGGAGTTCAGCACAGTTACGTCAATGTGGCCTTTTGTGTTTGAAATGGTTTAGTCTCCATTCTCTTGCACCTATTTATAACAGTCCCTACTGACAACAACTTGACCTACTTCCCATCCACATTCGTTATTGCCGGTTATTGTTATAGTTTACAAACTTCCATATACGTCTTCCAAGAGAGCTTGTGACTCTGGTAACTTTGTCAGCCCAATTATCACAACAGGGGCTCTGTGAAATGTTCTCCGTAGACACACATGGACATTGTTATGAAGACCCCTACTGGACACATCTCAGAGGGGGAGCCATGTTAGCCTGTACCTGCAAAAAGAATGAGGAGTCCTGTGGCACCTTCGGGACTAACAGATTTATTTGGGCATAGGCTTTCGTAGATAAAAACAAAGTGATTTTTCTTGCCTGTTGTTCCTATGGAGCACGTGTAGCTTCCCACATCGTGCAAGCACCAGCCTCTTTCCATCTGCTGCAATACCCACACAGGATGGGAGGAGGTGAACAAGTGTGCAGCAGTCATGATGAAGACAGGCAGATGTGCAATAACCACTCCCCCGCTGGCTTTCGGAGACGCCGGTCCCTACAGAAGGGCAGTGCGATTCCACACTTCACCGAAAACGCCTGTTTGCCAACACCCTTCGTGACACTG